ATTCAGATGCACTTAACCTACTTTTGAAGATAAAACACTTCATTCAATAGTCAAGTTCCGCTATTTTTTACCTGTTAAAATTTAATGGACAATTTTAAACATAATACTATACATCCTTAGCATCTAAAGGGACAGGTTCGTCATCCGTTTGACCAATTATACCTTAGTCTCAGAAGTTTTTTGTTAAGCTAATCAGTAATGGTGTTTACAGTTCACAGTCGAAATTTGAGTTTTCAAATCCACCTGTGTCTAGTTTTATGAGCATTTGAAAGTTAAAACGACTTGTCATCTTTTTTTGAGACTCTGCCATATAGAGAAAATATAGAACTAGAAAGTGAAATTCCAAGTTTCCAAGCTAAGCATAAAATTGTTTCTTTTGTCTATCTTTTGATATTGCTTATTGATACTTAGTAACCCCCTATCAATGACGCAGGCTGGCTATGGAAAAACTATAGTCGCTCCAATTTGACAATTTAAATTGTACACTATAAAGATCTTTCTACAGCTAAAAACTGAAAGACTATAAGTGCCAATGTCCTGGAAAATATCTAATTGCATACTGCACGGCGTTGTCTGTCTTCATGAGTACAATTAGGCGCAGCAAAGTAATAAGTAAAATACGATTTCATTTCATTTTAATTTGATATTGTTTATAATTGCTTTATTTATCCTTATTGAATTTTTTAAAGCATGTTTATCACCTAAGGCCCTTTGCGATTAATAATGTCATCAAACACTTAGTTTTAGAGGAATTACAGGAACCACAGTCGTCTGAATGAAAATTTGAATGGTGCAAATTGATGCTATCAGCGTCCCCGACACACATAGAATTTTTAGAAAACCTATTTACAATCCCTTTTAGAATATCTATATTATCATTGAAAGGTATTTTAATCATAATTCTAAATCATCATTATTTACCATCCGGCATACAAATCTAAATATTCTTTAAATAAAAGTCTCATTTGACCACACATCAAAGAGGTTATATCAATCTAAACTGCACGATACTAAAATTTAAAAATTTCACTTGAATTGAACCATTCTTTCCAAACTAAGCGCATATTACAGAAATTCATTCAGAGATTTATGCACGCTATATTAAAATTCTTTTGTCGACCTGTCAAAGTTTACATGACTGTTGCAGTCTTATTTGACGCTTCATTAATGATGTATGATGTAAAACAAGGCAGGTCGATACGGAATATTTCTAAATACGGCTCATCTGTCTCTCTTGACATTACTGTAAAACCTGAAAATAGCACAGACAATCGTCGTTAATCAATAAAAAGAGCCATGTAACTTCGAGTTAATATGAATTTTTAAGAAGTGACTTATTGCTTAGTTTTTTCACAGCCACTTAAAGGGATTGAAAAGGATTTTTCAGCCTTGTATATGTATTATTAGAGACGATTATAGCTTCCTCGTGCGTCATTCCGGTTTCTTGTCCGACGCCTATGAGATTTTGTAAGTGTATTTTAAGTATATCTTTGCAGGTGATGATGTCACTGTAGTATTCAGTTTAAGTGTTTTTATTTTCCAACCAATTCACCCAAAAAAAAAACCCCAAACAACAAAGAGAATTTGTCTTTAAGCAAAATCGAAAGGTGGCCTTAAGTCAATTTTGATGGTTTTAACAAAATCCTTTTTAAAAGGGTCTGTACTTTAAAGTTCCATTGCAAATCTGCATAAATACGAGTTAAGAAGAGATATTTTGTTTTCATCATTTCTGGGAACTTTCAATGAAATCTGTCCTCGAGCCGGAAATTACTATGTTTTGACGAATGTTGTAGCTTGGGAAAATGAGGATAAGCCTAGAGTTTGATTTATTGGTGCTTCTTAAAAATTATATACATATCCTTGAGTTTGAATGTAGTGTGTGGACATTGAAAACAGAAAACATACCGGAAAATATATTTTCAATTCCATACAATAATATTTTGTTTTAATGGGATGCCTTTAAAAGATAATAATACAACTTTAAATTCTTCTCCAATTAAAAAATAGTTGCTATCATCATCACTTTGATTCTATTAGAAAATCATGACATGCAGCCTTATCTCATAATAGTTCAGTCTTTAATAATAAATGAATGAAAAGATCACGAAAAGTTCAGCAGTGAACACAATACATTTTATATTTATTTATAGCTATTTATTATCAAAAGAAGAATATGCTCAAATCATGACTTATAGGCATCGGATCCGTATGTCCTAATACACGTTCGCCCTACGTTCGTTCGTGATAACAGATAACATCTCCATATTCTTACGGTTAATTACAAGCTATTGAAAATATAAGCCTATCTGACAACGGGCTCAGGATTTTAATTTTAATGCATATTTTTATTTTGCTACCATAGGTGCCCTACTTAAATGTTTTCTTGTGATTTTTTGTTTAAACCCAGCTTTCAACGCGCGTGCGTTAAAGATATGGCGTTTCACGCTACGTTGGGACATGGGCCTGAGATAACGTTCTCCGCGTGGTCACCAAATTTCAAAATGACCTCAAATACTGATTTCTATTGGCTTATCCAGAAATACGCGAGTAAATCAGTGGTACGTAAATCTTTCTCTTGGATTATTGGCGTTTCACGCGAAGTTGACACTTCTGGTATTTTCAGCTTGACGCCGTAGTGAAATTATAATTCCATGGAATTTCGTACCTTTTTTCACGGCGCGTTTAACGCGGCCAAGGGTTGAGTGAGGACTTTACAGTTGAAACATGTATTTCATTATATCATTTTATTCTAGACACGATGTTTTTGACCTCTCCAGTACAATTTGATATACAAGGAAGTCGACAGTCAAGATTCAGTGTCATACACGAGCAGAATAAAGGCAGTGAAGTTATAGGAGTAATAACTAGAGACATGTATCGGCAAATAAAACCAATAAATGACTGGCCGTCAATCTCATTACCGACTGAAAGCAGCAACCACTCAGGTAGGCTAATGTTTAGGAAATGGATTCTCTATCTGAAATGACATTAATTCACCTTGTCAAAGATGGTGTTTCTCCGTTAAGAAACAAGTACGTAGGTTATTCACTCATTTCTTGACACGGTCTTAGAACTAAGGTTTAATTTAGCCACCACGATGTAGGTATATACAGACGGCATTTACACGTACATATGTTCGATTTACATAACCATGCATTTTTTTTAATGAAACCAATTCAATTTTGATATTTCATTGCTTACTATCAGATATATAGAACCGCATATCTCAGCGGTTAAGACGCAGAATGAAATACGAACCCACGCATACATATGTGCAAGTAAAACTATGGATTAGATCAAACGACGTATTTATGAGTAACTTCATCAGTCATAAAGGGAAAGACGTAAAGCACAATTTCGTGATAATTCACAGATTGATAATCATTTTGGGAGACTTATTACCTTGGATATGGCAACATTGAGGGGATGTCTAGCCTTTGGTTATGTTTTTCCGTAATTTGAAGAACGATAGTGCAGACTATTTCGGTTTGTAACTGTTTATTTCCCTTCCCCTAAACCCTTTGCCATCCTCAGGTCCGTGGCTACTGAGGGCAAGTGGGGTCAATAAAAATCCGAAAAATCGATTACCATTTGAAACAATTCTGACAACCGACCAATTCCATTACAGCACCTAAACACCATACACCTTTGCCCTTTCGAACAATCAAATCTGGCTGTGCCTGCCTAATACAAGTGAATGATATTTTTTCAGATTCTACAGGGGCTATAATTGGTGCTGTTGTTGGTGTTATATTTACTGTTATAGTGATTGTAGTGATACTTTATATATTTAAGTAAGTTTAGTTTGGTTTCCTCGGAGATCTGCCCACAGGTCCAGCGTTTATAACAATGTTACAACAAGGAACTATTTGCCGGCAATCCTAGTTTAATCAGTAATTCGTAGTATTTGGATGGTAATATACCTAAAATAACCAATAGGAGCTGGTGCACCATGTCGATGAATTTATTTTCATACAACTGGTGGTATTAGTGCTCAGGGTACAAGAGGCTACGTTCGAAAATTTTGAAGTTCTGTTCATAGGAAAGTTCTCTCATCGCATTGTATGGTTTTGCTGTTGAACATCTTCAAGAAAGTTTCATTTGATTTGACCTTGTTGCTTTTACAAATTCACAATTGCAACCTTCTGATACATTATGTTCGTGTTTCAGAAAGTATCGATCAGAAAGAAGAGAATCAACAACACGGTTATGGAGTGTAAACGGACCAGAGCTAAAAATGAAAAGAGAACGGAATATAAAGATAAAACCAGATATAGCAAGTGTTTCCAAACACAACAATAACAACGATATGGTACCAAAACGACGACGTCTTGCCAGAATGGTAGGTGTCGTTTGTCTGGATTGATGGAATAAGATAGTAAGATAATAAGACAAAATGAGATTTGGTTCTAGCAGGTTGATATCGTTTTTCAGTCATCCATGATGAATGGGTGACATTACTGAATCGATTTTTAGGTAATATGTCACTTCGACTTGTCTGGACATCTATAGTATGGCCAGAATAATATATTTTTTAATATTTTTAGTAGAGCAAATGGTTTGTTCTAGAATCGCAAGTTGCTCTCAAAGTTAGTGTATACCTTTAAATACCACATCCTTCTCAAAAGTTCAATCATCTATTTTAAACTCAATCTATTTCAACAGGAAACTAGAGCAACACTAGGATCAACCTGCAGCTTAGATAAGAACCATTTATTTGCACCTATTGGACAATACAGAGTATGTTTCTTTCTGTTTTTAACATTAAATGTTTACATTCAATGTTAGAGAAGGGGGGGGGGGGGGGCATCACCAACAGTGTCTTACATGTCTAATGAATGAACTTTCAAAGGGTCGAATTCTCTGGTTGCTTATCGAAACGTTCAAGTTAAAGTTGTCAATGTAGCTTCTAGAATATACCGTGGGTTGTACTATTGTATCCGTAAGGGGTATAAGTACCAAACGGGTGCTCTTGTATTTGATACACCTTCTGGTTGATATTTCAGGGTTCTATTGTAGCTATTAAAGCATTACATGGAAGATCTATAAAACTAACAACTGATATGACAGAAGATTTAAATACAGTAAGTTTTAGTGAGAAAAATACAGTGAGATTTTTCTCCATCTGTATAACCTATATTTAGCAAGATACTCTAAATAATCTAATATGGAAATGGTATTTGTCAAGGACTTGTAACTATGGGTTATGTAGCCATTTGCTCACGTTGATTTATATATAAATATATATTTAGGCCTCACTTGCAGTAGCGGAGCCAGGTTTACGACCCAGAGGGATCAGATATTTATAATTGCCCGAATCTCTAAGCTAGTTATGAGCTTTTGCCCGAAAAACTTGCTTTCGGGGCTGCGAGGCGGGGATGGTGGGTGGAGGTGGGGCTGCCCCTTCTAACCCCCTTTGGCTCCGCGACTGTCTGTTTGATAGCCATACATAATGAATTGGATTAAATTTTTGTTTTTTTAAATATTATCATGTGTCAATATCAAAATAGTTAAACCAAATTTATGTAACTTGGTTTGGCCCAGGAATACGTTCGTCTACATTATATTTACAGATTAAAGAGTTGGAACATGATAATTTGAATGTGTTTGTTGGAGCTAAACTAGATAATAGTACTGGTTTTATTCTGTATAAATATTGTGCTAAAGGAAGTTTACATGTAAGTCTAACACTATTTTTATTCATTATGACTGTTCTTTTATGTGTATCCTTGGCTTTGTTTGTTTCCCTTTTCCTCGACTCTGTGATAACATCTGTTAACTGTCAGAAATATAGTTTGTTTTATTGTATTTGAAGGATGTATTAGAAAATGAGGATATTAAGTTAGACTGGATGTTTAAGATGTCTTTTGCTATTGACATTGCGAAGGTAACAATTTTTGTTCTACTGATCTGGCTCGGGTAATTAGGTGCTCTCTTGCTGAAGGTATTGATCGGGTCGAGATTATAAATTCAGATATTAGTTTAAGAAAGGAAAGGAGATCAGATCCCACATACCACAGTGTGAAATACAAAAGCCAATGTCATTGTCATACTATATGACGTCCCGCCAATTCTCGAGTAGAAAAGATACCCCCCCCCCCCCCCCCTCGTCGATTTCATCATCAAAGTGTGACAGTTTTTAAAATTTTCAGGGCATGGAATACCTACATAAATGCCCATTAAAATCAAATGGTAATTTAAAATCCAATAATTGTGTGATAGATAGTAGATGGGTAGTAAAAATAACAGATTTTGGAGCGTTATCTACAACTGATAGCATATACGGAATCAACGAACAGGACTATTATGAAAGTAAGTACTCAGCAGAAAGAACATAATCTTATTGATTCTGCCAGCTTTTTACTTTGTCGAACAGATTGCTGTCTGCATATGTTTCTATTTGGATTTTTGTTGGTTCTAACCAGGACAATCAGATCTCCACATTTCACCAACAACAGGGTGTGAAGCCAAACTTCTGGTGAACCTCTTCAAGAATTATCGCTTATGTTAAAGAAGCATTTAACGTCAAGCTTGTTAGGTTGCTCGTTGAACAGTATTATTAAAATGTAATGTGAATACAAGTTGCTGTCGTATTTTACCTTGCCTCTCATTCAAACGTCAGACTGTTGTATGTTACCTTGCCTATCATTCAAACGGCACGTCTGACTGTCGTATGCTACCTTGCCTCTCATTCAAATGAAACACCTGGCTTACGTATGTAACCTTGCCTCTCAATCAAATGACACATCTGGCTGTCGTATGTTACCTTTAGTCTCATTCGGATGACACATCTGGCTGTCGTATGTTATCTTTGCTCTCATTCGGATGACTTTATATTCCAGAACTGTTATGGACATCACCAGAATTATTACGATTGAACAAACGACCTAAGAAAGGCAGTCAGAAGGGAGATGTATTTAGTTATTCTATTATTTTATATGAGATATTCCATAGATGTACACCTTATTTTTACAATAATGAAGCAACGAAAGGTAAAAAGGAACAAATTTTAAATTGAGAACCACTCAAAACTGTTTTTGTCCCGGTGCGTATTGTTCAAGGGCTATAACTCGCTTAGAAACAAACAGAAACTTTGTGGACCTATTTCAAGATAGAACCACTGTTGTAATAGAATAATCCTCGTGACGATCACGATGTTTGATCTCTTTTTGTTAGTTTTAAAATATCCATTGTATTGTAACTGATCATTGATTGGTTTCCCTATAACAAGATATTCCTGGTTCACGTTCACGTTCGCATGTACTGCAGGATTTTGTAATAAGTCCTTGAAATCGATTTGTCTGTGCTATCAGGTTCTTCCTCTTTGCACATTGCGCTGCTTTGTTATGCACCAATTTGACAATGTACAGAATAGCGAATCACTATCATTGTTTCAGATGTAATATTTAAAGTAAGAAAACACACGGATCCACCATATCGTCCAGTAATACCAACTGATCACGGACTGGTTGAAGATGCTCTTACCCTCATGGTATCTTGTTGGGATGAAGATCCCCAACTCCGTCCAGATTTTAGATCAATTAGAAAATTGCTTATAGATTTAAATGGCGGTCGGTAAGTCGATTTGATTTTGATTAACTAATATGGAAACGAATCTAGCTGTAAGTTAGACATTACCGATGAAACTTTTAGTTTGCAACTCGGAGCCCCAGAAGGACATTTTTATACATATTTAATGCGTTTTATCCACATTGCGAATGTATGTAGATCCTATAATTCCAAATAGTTGAGAATACAGTTCACTGGTTGCAAACAATGCCACTTAGGTTTCTACCATGCTGATGCTGATGCTGAAACCGATGATTCGGACTGTAACACTCAAATATCAAATGATTTTTAACAGTAAAATGAACATTATGGATAACATGATACAGTTATTAGAAGCTTATAGTGGGAACTTGGAGAAACTTGTAGCAGAACGAACAGAAGAAGTAGCCCAAGAAAAGGCTAAAACAGAGCGACTGTTATACCAAATGCTTCCACAGTAAGTTTTGGTTTTCTACCCATTGCCTTTTTTGTATTTATATCCTCTTTAAATAAGCTTTAATATCTGATATATTGTGCTAATCATGCTTAAGAATGGAATACGAACGACAGTGGCAACGACAATGCACTCTACTGCATTTGGCTCCTGAATCAATTTTGTCGGTGACTGACCGAAACTTTACAGCCGTAGAAAATGATATGATTATATTTCAGACCTGTAGCCGATCAGTTAAAATTAGGCAACCCTGTGATACCCGAGTCATTTGAAGAAGTTTCTATCTTCTTCTCTGATATTGTTGGATTTACTACAATAGCGAGTATAAGCGAGCCTTTGCAGGTATTTATTTCACTGTTGCTGTTAGATCTAAAGAAAATCAAGGATCGAAATTTCGAATTCGAAAGATACATGCATCTAGGTGTCGCAAGAGATAAACAGGTTTCCAGATTACTTGACATTATTTTCTCCATATAGTGAAATTGTAAAGAAATTGTAATTAAGACTTTTTTTTCAATTATTATCTGTGGTCAGAATTGATTGTTTTTTATTACTTGTATTAGGTAGTTGACTTATTGAATGATCTATATACAACATTTGATGGAATAATAGCCAAGCACGATGTGTATAAGGTAATCAGGATTTTCATGTTGCATTTATATTATTGGTTTTCGTCTATATAAGTGCATATATCCATTGCAAAACAATATCCAAATGTGACCCCAATGACGTGGCAAGCGAAGTACGTCACTGTCTCATCAGGGAAAGCATTTCAAAAGGAAACCACCATCGAAAGGTATTCGTACAGAGGCGTAAGTTTGGAGAAGTAGGAGGTATCTGTTACCCCCTAAAAAGCCGTTTAGGAATACACGTATTTTAAACAGTCTTTCTCCTAAAGTTTTGAAACATACGTTATCAAAGTAGTTTGGTATATCAAATTGTATTTCAACACGGTTCCACGAATACTAGTTCACAACCAAGTTACTCCCATGTTCAGTTGCAATATCATTGTTTCTTGTTTTATTATTCTGTAGGTTGAAACGATAGGTGACGCTTATATGTGCGTCAGTGGTGTACCCAATCCAAATGGTAAACGTCATTCTGCTGAAATTGCTAATATGGCCTTGGATCTCATCAGTGCAGTTCACAACTTCCGGATAAGACATCTTCCAGACGAAAAGTTATTACTACGCGCTGGACTACATACAGGATCTTGTGCAGCGGGTGTTGTTGGTCAAATTATGCCCAGATATTGTTTGTTTGGTGATAATGTTAATATGGCTTCAAGAATGGAATCGATGGGAAAAGGTTCGTAATTTACCAAATGTATGCACTCATTATATCCTCTCCATTCATTTCCATCTATTAATTTTTAAGTGCTTTTTGCATAATATAAGAATATCGATTCTTTCATTTTTCTTCTGCTAAAGGGGCTAAAAAGTCACATTGTTGACGCTTATGGCTTCTATTTGCACCATTATAATTTCCAATCCGACATTTGTATAATTATGATGTCGCTATCCCAAATGCATTTCCGCTGGAATGAAATATTTGATAGTGTCACTGATATCTGACACCCTTTGTTCTTCTTACTTGCAGCATTACATATTCATATGAGTAGTGCCATGAATAATGCACTGAAAGCATTAGATGAAGGGTTTCTCACAGTTCAAAGAGGCAATGTACAGATAAAGGTCAGTGATTGCCATAATAATTCCCGCAATACCCTAAGCTAGCATCTCACACTGCAATTTAACACAGCTTCCCCAAACTTCCTATGTAATGCAATGTCATGCTGCTATCCACTAAAAAGCAACCCAATTGTAGATGAACTTAAAATCGCCTGAAAAAAGTGAATAAAGTCTGTTGTTCGGTGTATAAAGAATCGCATCCAGTACGATTTACTCCCGTGATGTTCTGTTTGAAAATAAAGGCAGTATCGGCTCTTACAGATTCTACATACTCTATCAGAAAACTCAATTAGAACAAATTTGTATTAGATTCTAGTAGATGGTTTTATTTTCACAAATATGCTGACGACTTTTTCAGGGAAAGGGGCTACAAAAAACATATTGGTTGGTAGGAAAGAAGTCATACAAGAAAACCTTACCTGATTCCATGTTAAGGTATGTAATTAGTTTTGCAACCACTGAGGAATGTCCAAAGCGCATGTTTGAATAACGGTTTATCAAGCCTGTTACTTTCTGAAACAATGGCGGTTCTATGAATTGTTAGGTGAAAGGGCCGATAAGGGACCACAGCATTGTCAAGCTAGATTTAAGGCTTCATTTCTGAGAGAGGATCATGACCCCCTGTAGAGAAACACCGCTGCGTTGACTCTGTTTGAAGGGTTTGTGTGTACTTTATAGAGTATAGATGATAAGGATTCGAAACTGAATACAGGTTATGGTGGGAATAGATGTACGGTGTACGGCGTGGGATGATCGAAGCAGTAGAAAGTAAAACAAGTGAACACACGAGGTACTATATCGATAATCCCGCACAGTACACCGCGCCGTACACCACACAGTACACCGCACATCATCTATTCCCACTTTTATATGCACCCCTACACTATATACGCTATACATATTATACACTCACACCTATCAATACCGATACAATTGTCGAAAATTGACGATAAACGGAGCAAAAATGTGAGTAATGATTAAACAAATTGTAAAGTAATAAAATTCATTCCATAAATTTATAATATTTTATTTTTCACAGATTTCATATTCAAGAAGAAATATCCGATTCAAGGCCGACAACTCCGTCTGTAAAATCTTTTGGATTTGACGATAGTATGTATACGGGATTGTTACGCAAACCGTCCATAGCTACCAACCAATCTTCCACATCTCTTAACAGTATAATGTCAGATACCCGCTCTGAAGTCATTAACAACGAACTTTTATCAGTCGATGAACCATTTAGATTTGAATATCACCACAGTGAATGCAGTTTAGATAATCCCGATATAGCTGAAGAAGGACTTACACTGAATGTACCAAGAATTGAACTGACTGAAATGACTTAAACTGTGATATATCTTATGGAACCATTTCACCCAGTAAGCTGATGACGTCAGTTCAAATCATTCCAAGAGACCTAGAGCATCAAGAGAAGGTTCTCCTTAGCATCACGTTTCCCTGCAGTTATAATAATATACATTTAAGCTTATGAAATTTAATATTCTATGACGTAACGCAGCAGTTTTCAACCTTTTCCTTTCTATTAACCCTTTCGGGATACTTGATCGATTGCATAACACCCTTTTACAATATAAATCCTTATTATTTCGTGATTTTCTCTAGGTTTTTTCTCTGCAATCTTTCTCCTGTCGGAAAATATAGCTTTAATGCAATTGTTTTTTATGTTTATCAGAGACACTGGTAATTTTGGTGGAATTGCAGGAATCACAGGCGTCTGATTGAAAATTGGAAAGATGCAAATTGATGCTATCTGTGTCCCCGATAAGCATACAAAATTTAGGAATCCCTTTAATAGAGAACGACATACATGTAATTTCTTAATGCTTTATGCTAGACTACTAAGCGCCTCATTATCCCACAATAAATTCAAATTTCTCTTTGTATCTTAATCTGTGATTGAAATTATTTTTATCAATCGACGAAATTCCACTCACTGAATTAAAATCTGCATGATAATGACAAAATATAATTATTTGGTGGACACATCTAGATTATAGTCACATCCGATTGACATAACAGATTTCGGAAAAGGTCTGGAAACCTTCTTCATTATTGGTATTGTTAACAAAAGTATTACTATATTAAGCAGAATATTAAATAAATTATTATATCTTTATTGAGATTGATGCCTGTTTCTTATTAAAGTGAGTGGATGGAGAAGATATATCTTGTCCTATGTTAAGATTGGACCCTGAAGATTCAAGTTAGTGAGCGAATGTTCAATTGACGTGTCCACTGAGGCAGCAAAAGCATTTAGTGAGAATAATTTCATTATGATAACCTTGGTCGAAATAAGTCATAAATATTCTAAAAAAGTATCTTTTCAGGTATAAAATACTGTGTTTATAGCTTAAGGAACGTCTACTATACTGGCTGTCACTTTGTCACTTTACTTTTCAGATGCTTTGTATTGATTTCATCATCTATGCAAACGTACTTAAGAAAGGGTGTATGATTCTTTTTATTCCATTTCCTTTAAATCCATAATCTAGTCATTATAACTTATTTATGCCGTGTTCGTGGTTTTGTTTGATAAGATAATACCGACCTTGCAAGTTCCAAGATCGCAATTGTTGCAATATACAAGAAATACATTTTATTTCATGTCTTTACAAATTACAAGTGGGTCATGGTCATGTTCCAGATATAAAGATTAGCCTGATAACATAATGCCAGCCGAGTAATATCTTAACCATTGAACATAGCCAGTATGTGGTTCACAATAGTATTGCTTTTTAACGCTATTTTGGGTTCCTCTGCCGGAACTGTTCATCTTTATGTAAGTCCGACAGGATCTGATTCTAATTCCGGGTAAGATTTGTATTGAGTGTGTGTTGTTGTTTTTTCCACTGACGATAATAATGTTGTAGTTAAACCACTAGTCGATAAAGACGCAACATTCCTAAGACTGTAGATTTTTAAATTTGCTACGACTGTTTTAATTAACTGCTTTGAAACGTGTCTATGTATAAACAAGTTTTGAGGCGTCAAAATCACTTGGCGGTTTACTAAAAATTCCAAAAATAGAAGAGAAACCACCATTTTTCAGTATTGTGCTTTGCTACGCTTACTGGTGGCTATCTGACAGAGAAACTGTCTGTATACGTTCACATTATGTTACCAGTGACCACAGATTGGCAACTTAATGGGCAAACGTAACAGAGTTTTAGAAAGTTACAATATTGTCACAATTCTTAAAGGCTAAGATGGTCTTATAAAAGTTTAATTTGCATTCAGATTAGACACATCCCATCCACTGAAGACAATTCACAAAGCTCGAGATAAACTGGAAGATGCTAGTATCAAAGATAACGGTATCATTTTCTTTTATAGTCAATCTGTATGATGAAGAACTACAATGTTCATGTCGTCTCCATTGCGAACTCATGTCATTATGTTCCAATTGTACCGCTGTATACAATAAGCATTAACACTCGACAATTAATCATTATTAAATCAAATATGGAATTTCCGAATCAATGGAAGTAACGTTAGTTCAATTAGCATATATTTTTTCATCGGAGAGCACATAAAGAATATATTTATCTGAGGATAATGAATAATTCTGCACGTTTTTGTATTTACTGGTACAAGCGAGATCACCGAGAGAGATCACATCGTGGGAGGAAAACGCCCATAACACAATCATTATTTCCTCGGCGGGGAAAAAGAAACATTTTTATTTTTTGAAAAGATATTGTTCATATAGGAAGTAACTTTGAACAAAATATTTAACATGTTTTATTGGAACTTCCATATTGTAGAGGTATATATAGAGCTAATGCAAGGCTACCATGACCTATCATCAACTCTAACTTTTACTCATCAGCATCCATATCCTGTTACTATCAGATCATACCAACATCAAGAAGTTCATGTGGTAAGAACATAACTGTCACAAAGGTCTGTCCGCAATCAACGGATATCACGTCAACTTCCAAACGTCAATGTTTAACGATCATACTACTTTATGTATTTCGACACCTCAATCTGTATACCCAGTGGATAGATTTCCAGTTTGTGAGCATTTGGAAAGTTCTAAATTTACAGTCCATACAAAATGCATAGTCTCAACTACTCACATTAAAATTTCTATTAGCTTTTATGGTGCGTGGTAAATTTTATTTCCGGTAATCAACTGAATAGTATCACGCGAAGCTTGTGATTGCAGATGAAATAATATATTTTATGTTATGAAAATACGTTTCGTTTATATTCGACATCAAGCTGAATAAGTTGCAGAACAATGTTTCTCATCCATCTATTCGTATAAGCTCTGATTATTGATCATGTTTCATTATATAACTTTCAATTAACATCATCGTATCCTATTTTGCAGACCGGTGGCAAGAGAATTGCTTCAAATCAATTCAAATACCTCGACACAAAACAAGATTCCGCTGCAATGAGTCTTATTAGTGCTAGAGGTCTTTTGAAGGTATGTCCTGGATAACGTCTCATTCCTTATCCTATAATGTCATGAAACCTTGTATGTTCCTGCGGATTTCAACGCACCAAATGAATAATACGTCAGCAGCAATGAAGTGTGTTATAGCTGTTCGACACTGGACATAATTACCCCCCGACTAAACAATAATATAATGGCCGAAAAAGTGGTCTGGCATTTCTGACGGAATCCTTGAGAGCTGAAGAAGGATTCAACTTTTAGATCAAGTGAATAGTTTCATTTGCCTTTAAATGTAATATATGCTTACTTTCTCCGCAATATGTAATGTAGACAGTTGCATCTATCCTATCCGTTAAACACATTATGTTCAACAGGTACGCCGTGTGAACCTTAAAGATGTGGGCATCACTGATTTTGGTAGATTGGAAAAGTTTGGCTTTTACTCACGAAGAACTGCGCCGTTAGAAGTGTTCATCAATGGTAAGCCATTAAGACTGGCAGAATGGCCTGACAATGTGAGTGTATTTGTAAGTTCTTAATTCAATGGTAGCAATAAAACCCAATCATTAATCTTCAACTTAGATAAGTCCAGTATGCTCTTCACCTAATGACAAAAAGCTCATGACCATTGCGTTTCTAAAAGTATAGGAACATCTGCGCATCACCAGCATGCTATTATTTACATATTTACAGAACTTCATCAATATCAAAAGTATACCAAATGGACGAAATGGCACGACGTTCACCTACAATGCAACACGTGATGCGTTTTGGTCCCGTGAAAAGGATCCTTGGGTTTATGGGTTTTGGTATGTGATTTTTTTTTAATAAGGAAAACAATCCAACTTTTACAATTTTTTGAAGTCTTAACAATTTCTGATCTCAATGTTAGTTAATGGACACCTGGACAGCGTTCCCAAGAACCACCAAACAGATTTTTGTCCTTTGTTCAACTGTTTTTTGATTATGGTCTTTTCTCCCATATTTGCCATTGCCTTTCGACTTCGATTTCGTCTGATGGTTATAACCTATGTCAATTCGGTTAAAATCTGGGTTTTAATTTCTATTTTTATGGGAGACTCCGCTTGCTACCATGATGTAACGATGTAAATTTAAAGAAGAATTTTGTCAGATCAAAGATGACAAGTGTACAGGGGCGTATTTAGGAGAGGATTTTTTCAAGCTACTCTTTTCTATAGGTATTGGAGTTGGGCAGACCATTCTGCTCAAGTTAAAAAAGTAGACTCTAAAGCTCATGAAATTACTTTAACAGCCCCTACTCATTATGGACTACGAACTGGTAAGATTATTAGTGAAATTGCCAAGAAATGCTTAACAACTCCTACAAATGTGTATTTTATCGGGTTAACCAGATAAGAGGAAAAATAAAGTTGTAACAATTATTTATCTTTAAACAATAACATTGGTTAGCTCTTCGATGGATGTACCGCGTGAGAAACTTTTAAACACTTGATGTACAACACTTTGGAGATCAGCGTGGTCATTGGCGAAGTAATCTCCATTTAGATTTTTGTGGACCATAGACCATTCCAATTGTAATGAAGTAAAGCCCAAATCATTTGGATTTTTTTCTCAATTGTTTAAAGCTGGTAGGATCTAGGGTGACCTCGGGTTGTTCTTTTTCACCCCAAAAAGTCATTGGCCTATTGATGTGCACAACAAACATATAGACACCGAAATGGATTCCGCGTAACTAAACCTCTTCAAATTTCTCTATTTTGTTCTATTATGGGCCTGCACAATTTAAAGAATCACATCCTTTCTCTTATAGGGAATTTGAGATCAGATGGGCGACATTACATAAATGGCTATAGTCACCAAGGAGGTTATTTCAGAGTTTTTAATATGTTATCTGAATTAGATCAACCAGTAAGTATATTTTAAAGTTTTGTAACGTAATCTGAATTAAGTCAACAAGTTATATATTTTAGAATTTATATTTATCTTAATTAGATCAACCAGTAGGTACGTTTCAGAGTTTTTTCTGTTATTTTGATTTGAATAAGATCCACCAGTACAGTAAGTCTTTTTCAGATTATCAATATGTTAGATTAATTAAATTAATTAATTTTAGAGCTTAAATATAATTTGTTATCTGAATTAGTTCAATCAGTAAGTATAATTTATATGTTATCTGAATTAGATCATTCAGTAAGTATATTTTATATTTTATCTGAATTAGATCAATCAGTACGTACATTTTATATTTTATCTGAATTAGATCAATTAGTTAGTATATTTTATATGTTATCTGAATTAGATAAATCAGTAAGTATATTTTATATGTTATCTGAATTAGATCAATCAGTAAGTATGTTTTATATGTTATCTGAATTAGATCAATCAGTAAGTATATTTTATATGTTATCTGAATTAGATCATTCAGTAAGTATATTTTATATTTTATCTGAATTAGATCAATCAGTACGTACATTTTATATTTTATCTGAATTAGATCAATCAGTTAGTATATTTTATATGTTATCTGAATTAGATCAATCAGTAAATATATTTTATATGTTATCTGAATTAGATCAATCAGTAAGTATATTTTATATGTTATCTGAATTAGATCAATCAGTAAGTATATTTTATATGTTATCTGAATTAGATCAATCAGTAAGTATATTTTGTATGTTATCTGAATTAGATCAATCAGTAAATACATGTTATATGTTATCTGAATTAGATCAATCAGTAAGAATGTACCACATCAGATTTCGTGATATTTATATTACTGGTGTGGTGCTGGTTAAGTTTTATTACAAATAACAAAAGAACGTGATATTTTTAGGGTGAATATTACCTAGACAGGACAACTGGAATATTGTATATTTGGCCGAATACACCTAAAGGTGATTTAAAAGATACTGATGTTGTCTATGTCTCATTGATCAATAGCTGCATAAGGTAAGTGCTCGCCTTTCACATTCCAATCTAAGATTTTTATGAAGCAATAGATTTGAAATTCACAATAAAAATATTATTTAATTTATTTTATGAATAAATATATTTTAGTTTGTCTAATGGAATCAAAAACATGAATTTTGAAGATTTTACCCTTGAAGCTTGTCGACACTATGGTATTGAGGCTCAAAATGGACATAACCTAAAATTCTCTAATCTGGAAGTCAAGAACACGGGTAAGCCAACGATAAAATGGTACATAATTAAGAGGAGATGTGTGTTTTTGCCATAAGGTCACCCGGACAACTCCGTTCTTGTTACGTCGTGTTTAAAATTGAATAAAAAAGGGATAAAATTAATAAAAGATCTTAGAATATTACCCGATTCTGAAATAGATTTTAAACAGTATTTTCTTTAAGTGGACCATTTATTGTGACACAGAACATTATTTCTCTCTTTGGCTACCTGAAGCTGGTATTTGTTGACAGTATCGTTTTATGAATGTAAAACATTTAGATCAAAGCAGTCACTTGAACCTTGTAACCTGGCATTCGTGTACTCCGAATGTTTTTTTTTCTTCCTGTAATTGATGTACCTTATAGATTAATCACTACTTAGGTAAAACATGAAAATATGAAAAGGACTTGACAAGATTGTGAAAACTTTGAAATGAAGTAATGTATGATTTATTTGTATTTCAGGAACGTATGGTATAAGTTGCTCTGGTGATTGTCGTTCTGTATCAGTTTCAAAATGTGAAATTCATGACTCGGATGGCGGTATCAAAATATCAGGTTATATTATTTTTTCACAGCAAAAATTTACCAACTTGTTAATGTTAACAATGTTAATGTTTTCAGTTTTTCAAATTCCAAATTATCTTAACATGGTGCATGATAAAACCGAGAGAGTTATAAACTTATGTGCGTAAACATATTTAAATAAATATCTGATAACTATCGAGTCCGCGAATGGAAGAAAAGAATTGGAGACGGTTTTTTTTATTCTTACACCAGACGCTTTTTCGACTGTAACAATATCTCATAAGCATTTGATAATTGTATTCAAGGAGGAAATAGGAAAACTCTGACATCATCGGGCAATATTGTAGAAGACAACCATATACATCATTTTGGACGAGCTAGTGCTGTAGGTTCTAATGGTATATCTGTTAGTGGAGTAAATAATATTATCAAAAATAACCACATGCACCATTGTACTTATACAGGCATATATTGGACTGTAAGTTTACTTTTACTGACTCTGGACAAAGCTTGGACTTGTACCTTAATCTCAGAAATATTTTGGCTAAAGCTCATCAGTAATAGTGTTCACAGCTCACCGTCGAAATTTGAGCCTGTGTCCAGAATTATCCGCACTTGAAAGTTAGAAAGACGACTCGACCTCGTCATATAACAAAATACATACATAGAATCACTTCCGGTTTTCCTGCCACCGAGATTTATGTTATATCCATTTCTTTGTGGATATCGGGACGTGTTTGACCATAGTAGCCACTAGATTTTTGGCTTTGTTTACTGAACCAAAATAATTTCTTTTCAGGGCAATGACCATGTATTTGAATATAATCATATACACGATTGTTGTTATAATTCTACTGATTGTGGTGCTTTCATGACAGGTCGAGATTGGACTTTTGTAAGTAAAAACTTTAACTGGTTTAATTTGTAACTGTTTGACAAAATGTGGTGAAGCGCTTGACATGATGTAGTCGATATGCAAAATCACATGTACGTACGTGTTAATGATGGTTATGCAAAATGAGTCCTTGGTTATACTTCAAAGGGTTCCGTCTTTTTCATCTCAGACCATTAAACGCAATCCAATTCAGTCTAAAGGGTAACTGTCATATATTCAGTTCAGCAGTAGGGCAGCATATTTAGCTACCCGTGACATTTAACAAGTGAAAATTGTGATGAGGAAACACATAGTTATCTGGCCACAGCATCACTTAAGAAGGAAATTTAAACCTATGTACACATTCGCCATTACAACCCAATTCGCTTTTGATGAGCTTTCCCACACCAATAGATAGAGTCATTTGAACTTTATTGCTGAGGAAAGAATTACTATTATAGAATGCTTAATATTATAATATACTTGTTTGTTTTTATATTCATTATTTCCAGAGAGGAAATATTATAAGATACAACTATTTACATGATCATGTTAGATACTGGCCTGGTGCTGAAGTTAGAGCTGTAATGTTAGATGATCAAATGTCCAGTATTACTATGGAAAAAAATATATTTGCCCATGTAAGTAACTCCCCCTGACCTGAAGCACAATTATAATATATGACTCAAATGGGTTCTTTTAAAGGGACAGGTGCACCATTTATTTTACAAATCGTACCTTAGTCTCTGAAATGGAATTCTTTTTTCTTAGCTAAGCTAAGACACATTTCTCTACAATTTGGCGTTTATTTTGCTATTCGTACATTAGTTTTCAACTACATGCAAAGGGCATGGCGACGTTAAAATACTTAAGTAAACCTACCGTAAATTTAGTTTTAACGTTTTAAGATTAACGAAAAGATGCTTTAAGTTAAAATCTTCAGATAAGGTGAGGCGCACATTATTCTCAATTTTGGTGTATAATTTTTGATAAATTTGAGCCAAAATTTTCACCTCCCCCAAAAAAGCAGAATGCCTCTTTAAGATGCAATGGAAGATGTGATGTTTAATTCGGCTACAAAAATTGAACAAAAACCTTTGAACAAATGTATTATAGCATATGAAGATATAATGTAAACAATTTTTATCTGAGACAACATACTCTAAACCTTATAAATGTTTAGATGAATGATGACCAATTTTAATATTTTTAATCTTTGACAAATGTTTATACCTGTTTGATTTCAGAACGAAGTTCATGCTAATATTGGCGGAGGGCGTGATAATATATTTAGCTATAATGTATTCTACGAATCGAGAAGCCACGCCTTGGATGTAGATGGTAGGGGCCATGCAGGGACCGGTGGGAATTCTGGATCACTGGATACTAAGCTGAAGGTAATGGTGTGGGACGAAATTCGTTAAACAATTCAATTGAGCTGCAAATGCCCAACCCTACAAACAAACGGATTACCCCTCTGAAAATATCTTTTCTGTAAAAAATACACACCACGAACAATCAAGTCTGGCTACGGGCCTGAATCTGACCAGTCTTTCACAGAAAAAAAAACCGATGAAGAAGCAGTGTGTTTGTTTCACATTTGCTTTACTGTTGAGCAGCTGGTAAAGCTGACATGTTGAGATGTTTTTTCGTGAGCTTGAATAAATAGCCCAACAAGCCCTCTGGTCCTATTTAAGTAACCACATAAATTCAATAGTACATCTTTTTTAAGGTGCTTTTTTACTTTATTTTTGTTTACATTCAGCTAGTGTTGTGAGCCTATATCGATTCTTTACACCAATCGACTTACTCTTATAATGTAATTACATGCATATGATTTTTTTATAACAGTTTTTTTAAACTGTATGTATAATCTTGCAGGCTATGCCTTACACAAACTCTGTATGGGCTTCAAAATATCCCAAACTGGCGGCTATGGCCAAAATGGATGCAAAAAGTCGCGGAGCCCCAGCAGGTAATAACTTACGAAAATACTAATGTAAAAAAGCAGAAAAGAATACTATCATGACTTATTCATTGATGTGAATAAACATTAAAATGGCATTATCCTGGGTAACATTTAGTCCATAAGAAACATTCTATTTTTATGGAAATTTTAAGTAGTTTATTCTTTCAGGGAACCAAATCTTACATAATTTATATGTTATGATACACGGTAAAAAGACTATTAATTACCATGGCAGTTTTGTAATGAATACCGGCTATTTCAATCATGTTGATAATCATGCGGTAAGTATTTTTATGAATAACAATTTTGATAACCATGCTGTTAATTTGGTAAATAAATAAGTAATTTATAATCATGCTGTTAAACTATTAATGTTATACAATAGTATTATTTTGGTAATCATGCTCCATGATTCTATTACATAAATAAACATTTTGGTAACCATGCAGATTAAGTATCTGTTTATAATCGCATCGATGTACCAGTAGGGTAATATTATAACCACTGTTACTCATACTAGTTTAACAATAGATTCATAGAGGCTATTAGGACGCTGATAACATTAATGAGCACCATTCTAAATTGCAGACAGACGTCTGTGTGGTTCCTGCAATTCAAATATTTATAAAAGATATTGGTGCCTTTAGTCCTCGCCACTAAATTTGATTAAGAAGGTATTTAAGTCTCGAACTAAAAGATAAAGAACAAAATGCGAAGTCAACGTATCCTATACCCAAAATGTTATGCGTAAAATATTCATTTAAATGCTGAACGGACTTCAGAAAGTATAAGATGTAATGTAATATTCACTTTCCAATGACTTTTCAGGCCTCCAAATCAGACTTCGTTTCACCAGAGCACAATAATTTTGAACTTCGATGTCAAGCAAAGGATTGGGCAAACAAAGCTAATTTTCCACAGCCTGTATCATATGATAAAGTTGGACCCCGTTATCCCTATGGTCCTCGCTATTTTAATAAAGGTATGTAGTTTATTTTATTCTAGGGGTTTTGTAAAAACAATAGGTACTTATCTCCCGAGTTTTAACATATTATCGATTTAACTGATCCTTAACACCATCAATGCAAGAGTAGATCTGTGAACAGCTCCGAGCGTGGCATGAGACCTTACCCCATGGCATTTAGATCTTTTGAAAATTTTTGCCTGTTAGCTTTCTTGTCGAGATGACACTGGTGGCCTTAAGCTCAATGAAACGTATCTTTTGCACTAGCAGGGTTCTTTAGATTCAATTATTTGAATTATTTAAATCTATTTGTTATCAATATGATTTAATTTGTTATGTTGTTTTCAGGTATTAGTCCAGTTAATAAAGTTTACAGTTCCATAACAACTGGTAGCTGTCATTGAATTTTTGATGAATTTAAAACACCTAATAATGATATTAATCAATATAAAACTAAATTAAAGTTTCTTTACAACGTCTTCTTGTGGGATTTCCTTGTTATCTATAAAATGTTAGCTTCTTTTATAACAAAGCACATAACGTTTTTAACATCATTAAAAGCAAGAATTATAAAAAATCTCTCTGGAATTCAATAACATAAAACAATAAACCGTATTGGAATATATATATATATATATTTATAAGTAATTAGGGTTGTCATCAATTCTTGGTAAAATGAAACACTTTTTAATCCAGAACAAGTTGTTATTTAATCCATATTCAATTAATATATACATAATATCTTAGCATGCTTTCAGCTTAATAGCTTCTTCAGAGATATAAAATAATTTTAACTTTCAACAATATATACAATACGGAGGTCACTATTCAAAACAAACATAAAATACCATAGTTACTCACTTATGCAAGATAGTAAATAAAACTATCGTGTTGAAACTAGTTAAAAACCATAATCAGGGTTATGGGATAATTATATATATTTACAACTTTTAAACCGACACCAGCTATGTCTTTAAAACATTAGACATATGGATTGTTGTAAGGAATCAGGCAATTCACCCCATTACAGTTACACACTGTACGACAAACACCTTGTCCAAAGCATGTCCTGTACGTCATTACTTCCTCTGGTCTCGACCGTGGTGAACTGTGGAGTGTTTTACTGTATTCATTCTCCTTGGGATGTGGGAGCATCTCAAATATGAAGAAATCTCGTCCAAGTTTACATATCTAGTCCTATTATCTGTTGAAAGTTAAAAAGCCTGTCAAACTGGCTTTTCGGGTAAATTGGAACTCGGAGTGGATAGTTTTAATGTGCATTTCAGCACAACTTGGATGTCTTAAAAGAATTAATAATGAGATTATTTTAGTTCTAATTAGTTTCTGATTGTGACGATAAATCGTCTGATATAACACCACATAATCACACAAAGAACTTCTTTACAACTGACACAGTAAATCCATAACTCTAATGTACTGTGGCTGAATTTTTATAAACCCCCATATCTTTGTATTTCGCATTTCCTTCTATTTCATGATGGAAAAAGTGTTTGGCATCTCAACCTCATGATCTCTGTAGTATAGCCTATATTTTAGAGAGCATTTTTCTCAAAATTCAAAATCAAAATGAAGTCAGTAAGTAACCAAATGATAAATTAGCTGATGCGTCTGTAATGAAAATCTTCCTTTTTCAGATGACACGATAATGTTGTGGAATTATAATCAAATCCATTACACAGAATATCTTTTACACACTGTGTAGCGCAATAAATACGACTATTTTTTATTACCAAATTATTCTTGTTATTACCATGTTCAAAGATGAAATGTCCCCCTTTATCTACAATAGATAATAACAAAGATAAAATATCCTTCTTTGACGGCAATAGATAAAAACAGAGATAAAATATCTTTCTTTATCTTCAATAGATAATAAACAGAGATAAAATATCTTTCTTAATCTGAAATAGATAATAAACATACATAAAATATATTTCTTTATCTACAATAGATAATAAACAAAGATAGAATATCGTTCTTTATTTACAGTATATAATAATCAAAGATATAATATCCTTTTTTTATCTACAATTAACAATACACATACGTAATATCGTTCTTTATATTCAATATATGATAAACAGAGATAAAATATCTTTCTTTATCTGCAAAAGATAATAAACAAAGATAAAATATCATTCTTTATCTACAGTATATGATAAACAAAGATATAATATCCTTTTTTATTATCTACAATTAACAATACACATACGTAATATCGTTCTTTATCTTCAATATATGATAAACAGAGATAAAATATCTTTCTTTATCTTCAATATATGATAAACAGAGATAAAATATCTTTCTTTATCTGCAAAAGATAATAAACAAAGATATAATATCCTTCTTTATCTACAATTAATATATAATAAAAACAAAGTTATAATATCTTTCTATATAACATATCTTTCTTTATCTACAATGTATAATAAACAAAGTTGTAATGTCCTTCTATATAACATATCTTTCCTTATCTACAATAGATAATAAACAAAGATAGAATATCGTTCTTTAACTACAATATATGATTAACAAAACTAAAATATTCCTCTTCATCTACAATATATATTAAACAAAGATAAAATTGACATATTGCTTACGATTAGGCAAATCTAATGGTCGCGTGAATATAAGGCTGGGAGTGATAAAATGTCTATTCTCTTCACAACTATACTGTGATAAAAATCATAGAAGAAGAGGTATATACCTGACCAAGTTATATTGGTATGGGCAGCTACGTCAGCGGTACGTGTAGTGACGTCTGTTGTTGTATCAGCGGCTGTATTTATGTTTGTGGTTATCGTTGAGCCTACAGAGGTCACTTGTGGTGCTTCTTCTGAGGTAGCACTTGTGTCTTCCAAACTGTTCTCTTCGGTGGTAATGATATCTGTCACAGTGGGTATATCTTCCGAGGTGCTACTTTGAGCGGTTGTTGTTTCTAAATACAAATGACTTGAATTAGAAACAGTGAAACAGAGAAGTTGCAATGCAGTTCTGATTATGCAGAATAGACTCAGTGAGCAAGCGGTTTTAAATTGTTGAGGCAAGGCAACTTGAGTTCGGGACTATTAATAAGGGATATAATAGTAAAAAGGAAAATATTTGTCAATGCACTGGACAATAAGCTTCATGCGATAATTATTTTCTTTATATAAAATAGATAATAAACAGAGATAAAATATCCTTCTTTATCTTCAATGGATAATAAACAGAAATAAAATATCCTTCTTTATCTACAATGGATAATAAACAGTGATAAAATATCCTTCTTTATCTACAATGGATAATAAACAGAGATAAAATATCCTTCTTTATGTACAAAAAAAATTAAAATTCAAGGCTTCTTATATGATATCAGGTACCGAAGCATTTAGTTGTCTAAAAATATTATGCTAGATTACAAAACAGATAATTGACGACATTAATTGTTGGTATCCAAAATCAAATCCATAGAAAAAGAAAAGATAGCATCATGTTCCTTCAATGACACCAGTGATATAGATATATTCTTTCATTCACAAATTGAATTAATTAACAATTCCAACTAATAATATTTCAATATAAAATGGTACTATACCTGACCGTACTGGTACATTCACAGCCTGTTGTTCAGCTCCACTCGCTGGTTTATTTAAATTATTAGTCGTCGACATCTTTGTGGATTTTTCTATTAACAGAAAGCAATTATTTTCACAGAAAAGTCACAGATTTTCTTGTCTGTACGAATATTTATTTGAACATAACCAAATTTTTCATCCAATCAACAATATCTAAAATTTTCCATTAAGCGGAAACACATTAACATTTTCGTAGTCACGTGACATTTTGACAGATAGCTTGCGTTACTTCGCTTTGCGCCCTTCACCCGCAAAACTTTTACTTAATATGATCTCGCTATTACTATTTGTATTATTCAATAAAATAAACCTTACCTGTTTCTGTACAATTTGTTACTTTGGTATAAACGTAGCTTCCCTCTTTCGCTCTTGTTGGGTCTCTGTTAGTAGTTTCATAACAAATATTTGTTAAACTGTTCCACGTTACTCCTGTACATTGATTTGAGGCATTACAATAATTCACACAATCTGGTTCACTGTTTATTCCAGCGACTTTATTTCCTTTATTGACTCGAGTATGGTTCAACTTTGTAAAACATCCACCTAGATTGTAATATCATTAATAAATGGTATTAATTAATTCATTATAAAATCTTGATAGTTATTTTAGGGGTAGGCAGTGGGCATATATTTCTTCACAATGTCAATCTAGGTTGGTAGATGACAAGTTAACGTTCCCCACCAGCGGATGCTGATATCGCAAACTAGGTAGTTGTTGGTAGTCGTAGTAGTTGGTAGTTGGATTGACAATGTCAATCTATTACGAACTTGGTACTATACCTTGACTGCAATAGCCACCTTTCTTATATCACGAAAGTTTGTAAATGCAACGCTTTGGTTGGATTCAAGTAAGTACGTTAGCGAAAACAGCCAATCAGAGTCTTCGACAGAAAGTCTGTAAACAATAAACCATGTTTACAGTATGTCTATTGAAAGCTATGATTGGCTGAATTCGCCAACGCACAATCCAACCGATTCGATGCATTTACAAACTTTCGTGTGTCAATGCATAAGACAAAGTTCGTAAAAGCTTGACATTGTGAAGATATGGGGAAGAATGCTTGTCGTTATTTGAACTTTAAAATCAATCTGTCTATTTTATAATATCTATAGATCTTTTCCTATTTCCTATTATGTCAATTGTTATTTTTAAATACATTAATTCATTTTACTGAGACAAGGGGAGTCGTAGTTATAAGCCTTAAATTCGCCGGGAAATGTCAGGAAATCGCATTTCCGGGCGTCTAATTCTCAAAATTTTCTATGCGACACACCTCAGACCCTATACAAATAATCTTGAACCTTAAATTCGTTGGGAAATCGCGTTTCCTGGCGTATAATTCTCAAAATTTTCTAGACAAGTTCCCTCGGACCCAATACAAATATTCTTGAACCTTAGGTTCGCTGGGTAATGTCAGGAATTTGCGTTTCCAGGCGCCTAATTCTCAAAATTTTCATGTGGTGTTCCCACAGTCCCTATACAAATAAACCTTAAATTCGCCAGGAAATGTCACGAAATCGCGTTTCAGGGAGTCTAAAATTCTCTAAAATTTTCTACAGGAGTCCCCAGACTTCAGAAAATCCCCCCTCCCCCAGAAGTACTTGGTTGGTTACGGGCCTGGAAAGATTGAAGTGGTATACTCACTTGTTATTGTTGGTATCCAAAAACAAATAAATAGAAAGGGAAAAGATAGCATCATGTTCCTTCGTTATTTTAAAACCTAATGACACCAGCGATATTAATAAATTCTTTCATTCACAAATGGAAGAAAAATTGATTAACAATGCCAACTAACTACGTTTAAATTATGGCATACTCTTCATTTCAAAGAAAATGTTATCATTCTCACACGTATTGATAAAAGCCTAGACATAATATAAAAAACGATATTATGTCTATTTCCCATGATGATATCCTTTTGTATGAATATTCCTTTTTTCTTTGCCCAATGTTGTCAACACGACATGCACGTCAAATATACGTTTTTAAAAATAAAATGTATAAAAAATATTTGAACTTGGTAAGGGCATGTGCACGAAAAATGAGGTTATGTACAAGTTACAGTGGCTCAACATCCATAGGGACTGGTGAACCAAGTCCACGTGTCCCCAACTCAGAAAAAAATACAAAATTTAAAAAAAATGTAAATATACAATTATAATCTAACTTATAATATAACATTAAATACAAACTACAGAATCACAATATTAAAAATAAATTTTTCGGGAAGGAGCCCCGAACCACTAAAGTCAACGGCCCCTACTCATCTAGTTAACCACTGGCAAGATACGAAAACTTTGTACGGTAACGTAGTGTAATTGATGAAGAACGCAAAGAAATAGTTGTCATAATCTGTGTAAAGTGGGTTTTTTTGTTGCCGTTGTATGATTACAGAAAGTTGAAAGATATTGCCTGTCTTTTTTTGTTGAGGTTGCTACATCTTGCCAGTGACTATAGTTGATCATTGATCATATCGAATGACAAAATAATAAACATGCATGGTTGCTAAATAGTCAAAACAGGAAGACCACAAGTTCTTTTTTTCGGTTTCTTTTAACCAATCTGCTCATCCAGAAAGATAATACGTGATGTAGCTATACTTACATCATCCAACCATCCATTGGAGTGTTTTGTATGGAGTGATTAATTCAAAAATTGACAAAATTTCCGTAACAAATCTTTTTTTGGAAGTTGCACAAGTCAATACGTTTTTATGAAGTTGCATAACTCCACCCAAGCTTTTAGAAGTTGCATAACTTAACAAACATTTTGTGGAACTATTTTGGAAGATGCATAACTCCACCAAAGTTTTAAGAAGTTGCATAACTCAACAAACGTTTTGTAGAACTATTTTGGAAGATGCATAATTCAACCAAGGTTTTTAGAAGTTGCATATTTCAACAAACGTTATTAGAAGTTGCATAACTCAACAAGCGTTATTAGAAGTTGCATAACTCAACAAGCGTTATTAGAATATGCATAACTCAACCAAAGATTTTAGAAGTTGCATAACTAGACCAAAGCTTTTAAAAGTCGCATTATTAATGGCTCAACTACAACAGGGGACTGGCTGAACCAAGTCCGCGGGCACCTAATCAGTGGCATTTCTACGAGCGTCCTACTCGGCCACCTCCCGTGATGATTCCTAGAAACAACACTGCCCCAACTCCTAAGGGGACCTCCGACGCTACAAAGTATGTTTAAGTCTACATTAAAACAAGCTGTTCTGTAGCGCATGAAGATAACAAGTATATATTTTGTTTACTAAAATCGATAGTGTTCTTTTGATTCAATTATGAGTCATTATAGATTTAACAGATTTTTGAATAGATGAATTAATAACCATAGAGATATTTCTTTACTGAAGTAGAACTTTAAAAACTTTACGTTTTGATAATGTACAGAAATGTTTCATCAATACTTTTTACTTCAGATTTGCGTTGGTTTGAACTTAATTAACCTGGTATTTCGGTTATATAAATAGTTTGGTGTACCTGAATAGGCTTCATAACAACCTTGATAAAACCCTTCAAATATAATTATACTTCAACTACTGTAGTACTGTAGACTCACGGACAGTCTCTTGTGAACAAATATGCCATTTTCAGACGCTGTATTGGGAATTGCAACGGTAAACATATAAATTATGTAAATGCCCCAATACACATAAAACAATTAAAAGATGCTTTCCCTTATTTTAATTTTTTTTAATCATATAATCGATTAATATAAAACTTCTACCAATCGAAAGTAAAGGTGATCTAATGATTGGGGAAAAAACTCGTATCGACAGATCATTTGATAAAGATTATCCGGTGCCACATTTTCCATAAGGGAGGTAACTTTTCTCAGCCGAACGTCGCCAAGATCACCAAATACCAATCAATAAATTCAGAACTTCAATGGTTTTGTTTCCTATAAAAGGGAAATAGACGTTTTTGTATTTTCTAAATGAATTTAATATTATTATTTCTAACTTATTTTAAGTCTTTTAAACTCGGTTTGGTTGATAAATAGTAATACGAAAATGCAGGAAATATATCATGATCTATTTGTGTAAGCAAGAAATTTTGAGCTTTTTAATTCCCTCTTCTTCTCCATTCTTCAACAAGAAGGAAAACCAATCTTTAAAATGATTTCTGATTTCAATATATAAGAATGATAATGAAGCACGCCCTTAGGCTTGATGTTGTCCCATAGAACACTTCCATAAATCGAAAGCTTTTTTCGTTTATCAGTAAGACAACTTGATAAAATATGAATAAGCGGCACTTTCGCAAAACCAAATTTTTCATCTGGGATTTCCCTTGTCAATGAAGCATGTCGGAGGAAGTGACATGGGAAAACGTTCTAGTTGATCGGATGGGATAATAATTTGAGTCCTTTGTGCTATAGGATGTGCACGAAATCGAAAAAGAGAACGCTAACGCCTTCCGGTTTCCAATTTTTTATTCGTTGTACACTGCATAGCCTTGCCCGTCTTCAATAGCCTTTCAGGGCTCATTTCATTTCATTTAATCTATTGGATTATAATCTCCGAGCAATTATCTTTAATATTGAAAATTCTGTACACTGACCAAACAATAATATAAGAGTAAAAGACCGAGAAGTAAGTTCTAAAATATTCCTGACAAACAATACAATATAGTTATTCAATGTAAAACAAACATACAATATCTACCATCAGATTTTTATCAGACAGCTTATAGAAGGTGTGTTTAGTAATAAAATAAATATATAACAGAAAACACATGGGAATATAATAATATATTATGGTATAACACACTTCAACTAAGTACATAACGTTACAACACATGTCGTCATCAGATGAAATGATAAAATAAAAATTTCAAAAAATCCCGAGGTAATTACCTTTGTAATGTTTTCACTCAAATAGGCTAGACCAAATATAAAGACTAGCGCACTGGTCGCCGGATTGGCCACGTTAGTAGATTCGAGTTGCAGTTGTAAATTAGATTTAGTACACTGGGGCCAAATTCCATTGTCTACATTATCATTTTCAGCAATTTATTTACAACTCAGTATAATAAATCTAGCACACTGGTTGATGAATTGAGCGTTTTTTCAAGGCACGAGTTGTGCCCCTTATTTCATTATGATTCGTCCAAACAAAAATTGAGTCCTTGTCGGTAATTTACTCCGTGTCTTTGCGATATTGAGAACCCTTTCCTCGGAAAATCCCTAGGGATAAGCCCCTCGAAATCTGGGATTTTAAATTTCATAAAAACACTATGCCAAGTTTTAACCGACCTTATAGGAATCATCATTTGCTTACCTAGTTTTATCTGTCTTCATTCCTTACCACCCCAAAAATCTTTGTGTTGTTGTCACCAATATTATAGAAATGGGATACTTAAGCAAATAATTCTAGAGGTATCTTTCAAGAATTTATGTTTAAAATGTCGGGATCTATCTGAACTAGACCATCCTTTATTGAATTCGTCTGTATTGAAAATCGTTTGTTTTCAGATGACACGATAATGTTGTGGAATTATAATCAAATCCATTACACAGAATATCTTTTACACACTGTGTAGCGCAATAAATACGACTATTTTTTATTACCAAATTATTCTCTTTATAACCGTTTTCATAGATAAAATATCCTTCTTTATCTACAATAGATAATAATAATAGATAAAATATCCTTCTTTATCTACAATAGATAATAATCATAGATAAAATATCTTTCTTTATCTACAATATATAATATACAATTAAGATAGAATATCCTTCTGTATCTACAATTAACAATACACATACATAATATCGTTCTTTCTCTCCAATATATGATAAACAAAGATAAAATTGACTTATTGGTTACGTTTAGACAAATTTAATGGCTGCTTAAATATAACACTGGAACTTCACTGTGATAAAAATCATAGAAGAAGAGGTATATACCTGACCAAGTTATATTGGTGTGGGCAGCTATGTCAGCGGTAGTGACTTCTGTTGTTGTATCAGCGGCTGTATTTATGTTTGTGGTTATCGTTGAGTCTACAGAGGTCACTTCTGGTGCTTCTTCTGAGGTAGCACCTGTATCTTCCAAACTGTTCTCTTCGGTGGTAATGATATCTGTTACAGTAGATATATCTTCCGAGGTGCTACTTTGAGCGGTTGTTGTTTCTAAATACAAATGACTTGAATTAATAACAGAGCAGTTGCAATGCAGTTCTGATTATGCAGAATAGACTCAGTGAGCAACCAGTTTTAAATTGTTAAGGCAAGGCAACTTGAGTTCTAGACTATTAATAAATGATATATAGTAAAAAGGAAACCATTTGTCCCCTAGACAATAAGCTTGACACGATAATCCTTTCTTCACTTTTATCATGAATTTCATTTGGGAAATGAATTTTTTGAACACGCAATGGCATGACATTTATCGATATCTAATATTGAGCTTATCTTCCGGTATACTCGTCCTTAACGATATGAATCCTTTAGCGGTTTTAAAGTACACTTTCTAAAGTCAATTAAAGAGATGAATTTTTCAACCGAACTAATGATAAAAACAACAGCCTATTCATATTTGAGCTGAACTTGGACATGATTGCTGTGGTACTATAGCGCATGGAAACATTAGATATATCCGTAAGCATTGTCATATAGAATATGCCAACAATTCACAACAAACGATCATAGCTTGAAAAAAGAGTTGTCAGATCTCGGGCGTAATGAAATGAAATGTATTAAGGTGCATCAGTACCTATAAATAGGAAATAGTCAAAGTGAAAGCTCAAAAGAAAAACACAATAGATTAATCTACAAGGATGCACGAAATTAAAAACATTATTACAACATTATTATTACAATAAAATAAAAACCAAACATAAAAAAATAAAAATTTAAAATAAAAATTGCCTTATTTCAAAAATACGACAACTTTCTCGCGCAAAAAGCTGTAACAATTATCCATTAATCCTGAGATCTCAGAGGCTTGAGATGCTTGCACTCAATCAGAATGTGCTTCAATGTCAGGCGGACCTGGCAGTCCTCACAGACTGGTTGCGACTCTCGCTTGAGCAGATAATAGTTGGTCAGGTGTGTATGCCCAAGACGAGAGCGACACATAACCTCAAGATGTCGGGCGAATGAAGCCTAGGGCATACACTGAAAATACAGAATATACACAAAAAAGAATACCAAAGCTTACCCATGCTACACGAAGAATGCTTATTATAGAAATGAAAATTTACATCATAAGCGATTCCAGTTGATGTTTGGTAGAAGAGATAACATTTATGATAAGAAATATCCCAATTGCAAGCCAGACAAGTTGGAACTATTCGACATACGGTGAAACAATCTTTGGCCACTACCATTCCATTCAATAGTACACTCGTACCAATTCCTCGATGATGGAAACAAACTGTCATGTCAGCATGTGCTTTAAAATTGAAAACAAAATCGAAAACTTCATATTAAAACTTCATATTATACGAAATTAAATTAATTAATTGTGAAAAGCTAAAAGAAATAATGACCGAATGTTTGGTACAGACCTCTGATCTGGTATTGATTGGCTTTAATACAAGGTCAATATATCATTACGTAACAGACGCGTCTCCATAAATCTAAGCGCAGAGGAATGTATTAAAAGTCAACATGTAATGACCACTTTATAAATAGCATGGTGTCTTATCAGCCAGTAAATGATACAAGGAAAATAGATCACAACTCTATGCAGATTAAAAAAGGAAAGTTTCATTTCATTTGTAAAATTAATAATGCCTTTGTGTCTTGTCTCGAATATATTAAGACTTTTGTCTGACTTGTATTTGCTGGGCACTGCTAAGAAGGAAGGTTTATTGTGACTTACCAGGTGAAGAACAATTAGTAAAATGTTCTAAGAGAAATGCATTATCTATATGTCTATTTTCCATCTGAGCTACTATGTAACAACCCAAATCTTTATGCCATGTTACCCCTTTACAGGATTGATCGTCTGAGCACAACATTGTACAATCCGAAACTGTTGTGACACTCGTGTGTGCCAGACCTGAAAACGATCTCATATTATCTGTCAGATGGAAACAGTAGGAATCTGAAAATGAAATAGATGCATTTTGATACATTTGTGGGTTTAAAAACACACACAAAAATTGGCTCTGTGCTTAATTCAAAATATTTTTCAACAATGTTAATTAGAAATATTCCGAAATGACGTCATTAGTTTTTTGGAATATGTTTCGGGTTGACAATCAAGGCCTTATAGGAAAGATTTACACAAGTGGTATCAGTACGATCATGGATATTATAAATTATAACGTGACATCAGATGATTGTAGACGAATCCTTCCTCATTCTAAAAAGTGACACGAGTATTGTCAGAAAGAAAACAAAACAAATACTTTGTACGGACCTTGATAAGTTAAAAATTTGAACTCACCGACATGTTCCAAAACACTGAAAATCAAAATCAGAATGCAATGAACACTAAACACAGCCGCTGTTGCCATACTGTATGTACATGTATCATTCAAAAAAATCACGAAGTGAAACTGTTGTTATTAAAAGTAATCATAATTAATAGTATTATCATTGTACATCGGACTTATAAACACTTAAAGATGGATTCCCCGTTGCTTGAAATTCTCCCCAACATTGAATGTTGTTTACCGATCCGATGCGTATTGATGGGATCCCTCACGTTGTTTAATTCTTCAACCAGGTATGATACGTTTTTGACGTTCTGTCAAAGCTTCCTACTGATCAAACGTGGAAGTCATAATAATCATTGTATCACAGTTATTCAACTACACAGACTCAACTGCCTGTCCGTATCAGATCGTAGAAGAACTCAACGTGCAGTTATGTTTCGGCCTGTAAAGCGTCACACATCGGGACACATTGAAACTGAAACGTAATGGTTCTGTTTCATGTTTTAGTAAGTATATTTTGTGTAACAGGAAATCTAATGATAATTAAAGCCATGTATGTTCTGTTATCCCCTCTCTTACATAATTTGAAAATTATTATCAGCTAAATTAACCATTTCATAAAAACAGACAAATATTTTAAAACAAGACTAAGTTACATGTTGTAAATCGGAATGAATACAAACTTAGTAAAGTAAAAATAGTATACAATAGTTGGCTGCATGTCAATTGTACTTCACAATAAATAAAAACTAATATATTCTATCCATTATACCGGGCGCTTAACAAGTCAATGTAAATTTTAATCAGCTGATTGTACCCGATGATGTATTTCAATGCTGATGCATGGTGCATTCACAGTTCCCGACTTGGCCAGTGGTTCCTAATATTAGTGTGCCTAAAAGAGTGTGCCTACCTGAATATGTGCCTACTTGAAGATACGCCTTAGTGTGTGCCTGTATAACGCTGTGCCTATATGAACGTGTGCCTATATGACTGTGCCCATATGAACGTGTACTGTGCCCATATGAACGTGTGCCACAAAGAAGTGTGCCTGAAGTACTATGTCCATCTGACTTGTGCTAGAATAATTTGTGCCTAAATGACAGTGAATCGGCTAAAGTGAAAGATCTAGGGTTGGTGTTGTGCGGGGTCAGGGGGATAAGTTTTGAAAGTGGGAGCATGCGCCGATTTACTTGATATATATTTGAAATATCTATAATAGATAAATGATGGTACAATAATAGCAAAAAATTATTTTATTTTTTTCTCACCTTCTGCATCTGTAAATAGGTGCATACTCTACGGATGCGTCCTGGGATCAATCCCGGCATAGGTCGAAATAACACCTTTTTATTTTTCAACCCAGTTTCCCCCTGTCAGTGATGCAGGTAAGAGGGGCTGACATGGAAAAAACGTCTAGTCGTTCGGATGGGAAAATACACCGAGGTCCCGTGTGCTACAGGCTGTGCACGTTAGTTCCCCCGACAGATGGAAATCGAATAATACAAGGCTTATGTCGCTGTCCTGACAAAATTTCCCTCATTGCACCCTGCATGGCGTTGCCCGTCTTCATTAGCCCATATGGTCCAGAAAAGTAGAACGTAAAACTCCATTCATTTCATTTCTTTTATCGTTTCAGATTGGCTTAATGAAAACGGCCATTCAACAAGGCAATTAGAACACATTGTTATGACAGTGGCATTTCGATTTCAACCCACGTCCATTAATGGCCCCGAAACACCGGACTGTCTGATACTCTATTGTGTTAACAGAGAATTTACGATGTTTGTCTATAGACATTCTCGATTCCTTGGCGATCTGAACGGCGATTATTGGCAACAATGGCACCCATCGTACGGTATGTGACGCTTCCTTCACGCCGTAGCAGCTCAGGTGCACGGTTTGTGACACAAATTAGTAAATGAAATGAAATGAATGGAGTTTTACGTCCTACTTTTCTGCACCATGTGGAACAAATTAGTGTCATCGGGAAATTTATTGTCCTATCAGAATGACTATACGCTTTCATTTGACAAATTTCAAGTTTAAAAATATCTAAACCTGAAATCATTTCTTCTTTCAAAATGTGACACTGTTAGCTGGTAGAAACGATTAAGAAAGAAAATCTAATCAAAACACGAGTGCTTCATATATATCTATCAAAGGCAAGTAAGGAACACCATGTTTCGGACTATATAAAGGTTAATGAATAGTAATCAAACCAAGGATTATAATCACAGCTAGAGACTAGTGAAATTTACTCAACTCAGTTTATAACCCTTGAGTGTCAGTTTGCTTTGTTTATAGCAACCGGTAAGTCGCCTTTTTGAAATTCTCTAATTTCTTGCAAATTGCAATATAATTCAGCCCCCCCTCCCCACCTTCAGTTTTTAAAACACTTATGTTTACAATGATTTATAGGAATGCAGATTAAGTATGTATGAAGGGAAAAGAAATACTTTTATAGTCCGAGTGGAAGAGGTCGGGGGGCTGGGGGACTGTTAACCTGCGTCATTATACACGACACCTGAACACCAATGGACCTTCGCTACTGATTGAAAAAATGTTATCCTGATGCTGCCAACTTCTTTCTGTCAAATGTGAGCTCTATAAGAATGAATACCTGAGTATGAATGCCAGTGTCCATACGAAAGATGTCTCCAGAGGTTAAATTGTGTCGTAGTTCTGTTCAGAACTGGGGATATCCATACAAAGGTTACAAAACTCAAACATATTTAAATTATGTCACTTGCGTACGACTCTCTCTGTGTCATATGCCGAAAATAATAAGATTTTTTGGAATAAAGGCTATGGTTTTTAATGATATTTTTATCTGGTCGTTTCAGGTCAGGGTGCTCGATAGCGGTCTTTACTATTGAGTTAATACACCATGGTTGGGATACCATCCCTGTTGAGGTTAGTACCCTGTAATATCCACGCTTGAAATTGACACCTATAATTTATCAAGAGTGTACGAGTAATAGGACATGTTACCTTTGATAAAATAGTTATTACAGATATTATGAAGTCATGTCCTGAAGTGCCTACTGTCTAATCTTCTATTAGTGATGAATTGTAGGGAACTAAATATCAGATTCTGATTCTGTCTAGATGTACAGATAGTTTGGAAAAAAACTCCAACTTCAGTAGGGACGCGGGCTGAAATAGGTCAGATGTCTAAAGATCGCATAGCGTGAAACTCTGAGTAACAAATTGTTTTTTTAGGTGTTGTTTTAAAACTTGAATATAACATACCGTTTTAATTAAAAGAATAATACAAGTTAAAGTAATTCACGTTTTTGTTTTTTCAGGGTTCCAAGTACAGTAGCTCGCCTTCAGCTACGGACAACAACGTCAGATATGGTGTGCAACCTAGGGTTTTGGAGGTAGTTCACAAGGAGCAAAATTTGGGTGGGGGGTGGTTGCGCGTGGATTAGTTGCGGCAGCCTGTGGGCTACCTTGTTAGGGCCCCCTAGGTTGCACTGGCTTAGCTGCCATATCATGTCCACCCCACCTCTCTTGGAACAAATGGAGGTAAGTCATTATTCATTTTTAATCGCAGTAGTTAGAAACTTGTTGACTTCAACCTAATCTCTGAATTATAAAAGGTGCACTAGTATTCATCATATAGAACCCGTGAAGCAATGGGCTTATATTTATATCATTTAGAAATAATAACCCCATTTCTTAAGCAAAAACGATTTTTCAATTTGATCAACATGAGAATTCAACAATCAACAATCTCTATCAAATCACTTAAGCACAATTTGTTCCAATGAATCTAATTGGTTGTAAATTAAATTAAACTCAGTGATAAGAATAAGGACCTTCGGGATCAAGGTTAAATTTACCAGAAGGCTCATTTACCTTTAATAAATCAAGATAAGCTTCCAATCAGTTGATACGTTTAAAAAATTAAATTCAGTTATGTGTGTATTTGTCTTATCAGTTAAACAGCAATTGTTTTAAAAGGGTTAATTTAAAACGCGTACTAAGTGTATAGATTGCAGCTTAAACTAGTTTTGGTGCAGGGTCTCATAAAGACTGAATTTTTTTAGTTGAAACCTTATGAATACGTAGAAAATATATTTCTCTACAATTGCTTAAAGCGGTACATTAGTTTTCTGACACCTACCAAAAATCATAACGAAAGTTTTCGTAAACTTTTTTTTTGTTAAAAGCTAACTACTTTTCAGACAAGATGATGGGCACATTTATCTAAATTTTGGTGTAGTTTTTAAACATAAAGGGACATTCCGCTTTTTTTTGTAAATCGACATTTTTTTTGGTGAAATTTGTGAAACCTATACACCGAATCAAAATACATCAAAATAATGAAAAAATCATAATGCCTTTAAAAATGGTTTTTGTTAGAAAATTATCTTGAAAATGTGGAAAATCTCCAAATGTTTCTTCCTTTCCCCTGTCTCAAATCCTGGGTTAAAGTCAACAAGTTTCAGACTAATAGTCAAGAAGCCAAGATCCTATTTGCGAATTGATAACATAATTCTGTTTTGAGTTTTTGCTTCAATAAGTTGAAAAGAAAAAAAATTACATCACTATTCTTCATTATGATTTACTTCATTATTTCTTGATCTAACAACATTTATAAAAAGAGTTTGTTCACTGTTTCAACAAAATATGCTTTTTGGATTACAAAATTTATGTATATTATTATAATTTTAGGTGTAAACAGACCGAGCTTCATTATAGAAGAATAAAGTGCTTGCATGTGGCATGGAAGCTCATCACGTAAGTTTCAATTAATCATATTATAACCATCCAGTTATGGTCTGTGAGGGCATTTCTTGCATAATCTTGGCCTTTTGTTCAAATATGATGGTGACTCAGTGTGCAACAGATTTTGCAAGTTAAAGATTCTCTGACAGTTGAAAACCGAACATGTAGGCTAGTACCACCACTTTCTACGAAAAAATTACCTTCATTGCACACTGCCCGCCCTCATCTTAACCAACACGAATGGTCCAAGAATACTTTAAACTCGTACTCATAAATCAACTCCCAATTTCCTTTCTCAATTTCTACTCTACAACAGGTTTTCACAACACGGCTACCCTTTCCGAGAGTCCATTTCTATATTGAAGACTGTGTTGTATTCCATTCTCAAAAAAATTCTTAAACCGAAAATTGTAAAATTAACTTATAAACATGAGATATTACAAAAATATATTGTTAGCTATGTGTTGACAAACTCAGTTGCGTAGTGACATCAAGGTATCATTACTATTAATTTGGAGTGGAATATGCAACTGAATCAAAATGCATATTAAAGAGTTATTAGTGTAACCCATGTGTGTTTGTCTGTCTGTCTGTTTATTCACGAATTCTAACTTATACTGTTACAGTTTAAACAGATACCAATTTTCTTGTGTTCAAACTGCGA